CCGCGGGCGCAGCGCCCGGCGGCGCGGGGAGTCGCCTGGACGCGGGCTCGGGGCCACTGCGGCCGTGGCGTCGCCGGGCCCCGAGAAAGTTCGGGGCCGGAGGGCGGCGGCGCCGGGCGGCGGGACCCATGGAGGCGCGCGGGGACCTGGGCCCGGCTCGGGAGTCGGCGGGCGGCGACCTGCTGCTGGCGCTGCTGGCGCGGAGGGCGGACCTGCGCCGAGGTGCGTGGGTGGCTGCATGGGGAGACCGGAGTCCTCGAGCCTCTTCGAGCCTGGCCGCGGGGGCCAGCGGCAGCCGGGGACCTGGGTGGGAGTGGGTGCAACGGCCCCCGCACGTCCACGCCCGGGCGCCCCAGCCTCGAGTTTGTGTCGGGGCCCCTGGCGCTGTGTTGTCGTGTCGTGGGTCGTGGCGCTTCGCCGTTCGGGCCGAGGACGCCGCAGGGGTTCAGGGTGGCTTAGGAGACCCTGAGCCGGCCTCCTGAACTGGAGGGTGTGCAGGGAGCAATCGCGGGACCCAGTGACCACGAGGCAGGAGGGTCCCCGAGAGGACCAGGGGAACAGAGGCAGAGGCACGAGCCAGGGTCCAGCTGGACCCCGGCCATATGTCACCCCTAAGCCGGGTCTCGGTGTCTGCGTCCACACGCACCTGCTGCTTGCCGCCTGGGCTGATGGTCAGGACATGTCTACAGGAAAAAGCCCCCGATTTCCCGGTGGCATTCTTGCTACCAGCGCCTTGGCTCTCGGGGAACCTGGGCGATTCTCCGCGGGCTCCGGGCGGGAGGGAGGCGCCTGGGCGGCGGGGAGTGGGAGGGACCGAGCGGGCGGGAAAGGTGTTACATCCCGGCTGTGGGGTCTCCCGTCCCCCACTTATTTATATGTTTTCCGACGGTTCCTGGGAGGGGTGGCCGCAGGGCTGGGAGGAAGAGGTGGGAGGCGGAGGGAGTGGAGGGAGGGAGGGGCTGGGCGCGCCTCGCCCGGCAGAGCCGGCGCAGCGGGCGGGCGGCGGGCGCGAGGTTCGCCGGGCGGTCGGCGCGGAGGGCAGGAGACCCGCGGGCTGGAGCCGCCATGCAGCGTAAGGCCGGGGTGGCGGGCGCGGGGCGGCAGGGGCGGCTTTGCCCGCCGCGGGCGCCGGGCTGCGCGTCCCAGGTGCTGTCCGGCCCGCGGTGCTGAATCCGCGCTGCGCGGGGCTGTCGGGCCGCGGGGTCCAGACCGAGTCCTCGCCGCCGGATCGCTGCCCGCGACGGCCACCTGGGCCGCGCGACGGTCCTCACGCTCCGCAACCGGAGCCGCGGTTTTGCCAGACACGGGACCGCGTCCATCTCGAGTTTCCCGCCACCACGGGGAGGTCCGGCCCGTTTTTTTGCCAGGGAGCCCCTTCGCGGTCCCTCCCCAGTGCGCAGCCGGCGAGGCTCGGTGTGCTCGCGAGGTGGGCGCAGTTGTGAACAGGTCCCAGTCCCGTCCGGCTCTCACCTCTTCCAGACACCTTTGCTAAATTGGCAGGTAGTCCCCAGCCCGGGAGCTCCTGGAAAAGCTACTCACAGACTCGCGGCTCCCGCGGGCACCCCCTGGCTTCTCAGCCGGTACCTCAGGCGCCTGCAACCCTTGGGGGCAGCGCGGGAGAACCCAGGGTGCTTGGGCGCTGCGACTGCGCCACTGTTTGCTCCAGCACCTGTGCTCGCGCACGCGGAGGGCCGCTTGTCCAGCTGTCCAGGCCTCACAAACACGTCTGCCGCCGCCCAAAGACAGCGAGGGCACGGACTTGCACCTCGAGGCCGGCAGACGGCCCTGCTGGGCGCTGCACTTGCAGGCAGTCTCCGGGAAAAGGGGCCGGCACTGACCTGTGCGGGTAGCGAAGGTGGCCGGTGCGGCAGCCCTGTCTCCCCACTTTCCATCCCAGCTTTTGAGAGCAGAGGGTTTTCATTTAAGTTCAACGTGGGCTCTTCCTGGCTCTAGGAACGTTCGCAATTGACAGTGTTGTGCTTCATGGAGTGGCCTGGGCCACTTTCCTGCTCACAGACACGTTTCTAAACCTATTTCAGTGTTTTCCTTAGCGGCCGCCAGGCCTTCGGAAGCGGTGCCCACGCACTCCGCAGTCGGAGCCAGGCAGCCGCTCAAGCCGGGCTGGGGAAGCGGGTGGCGGGGAAGGGGCTGGGTTGGGAGGGGAGGTGGCTCGAGCTAGGGTGGGAAGGAGACGCCGCTGCTCTGGGTCTTAGAGCTGCCGGTGACCTGGCCCCTCCTGCCCACAGAGGTCCCGCTGTGCGCCGGCTGTGACCAGCACATCCTGGACCGCTTCATCCTCAAGGCCCTGGACCGCCACTGGCACAGCAAGTGCCTCAAGTGCAGTGACTGCCACACGCCGCTGGCCGAGCGCTGCTTCAGCCGCGGGGAGAGTGTTTACTGCAAGGACGACTTCTTCAAGTGAGCCCTGACACCCGCGGGCGCGGGAGGGAAGGAGCGTGGCGCAGCCCGCCCTGCAGGAAGGAGGCTGGGAGCGCCCGCGGTTCCCCCAGCCCCTCACGATAGCCAAGTACTGGGGGTCCCGGACCCCCTCCGTCACCCAGGCGGGGCGGGCCTCTCTGTGGGTGCTCCCTGGGTAGCTGAGACTGGCTGGGACGTCGGCAAATAGTATTTGGAAAAAAAGTAATTTATTTTGTAATTCATGGAAGCAGTCATTAAAAAAAGATAGGCTCAAATTGGTTGAACTCTATTGGACTTATTCCCTCTTAAATTGTTGTTTAGTCCCTAACGCTGGGGAGTGGGGGCTTCTGGCCCACTGGCCCTTCCCGGCTTAGGCCTTGGGGTTTAGGGGAACTGCCCCGGCTGGGCCTGTCCCTCCCAATTCGCCTTCCCTGGATCCCGCACAATCAGCAGCTGCGCTCCCCACGGTCCCCCAGCCCCGAGGTTGAGCCCCCGTCTCAGGAGTAGCGGGCAGCTCTGCCCCGTGGCCAGGCCGGTGACCGACAGGCAGGGCCCCACCTAGCCCTCCTCCCGGAACCT